TTAATCCTCCTTTTCCCATAATTAACACGGACCCATGGTCCATAACCTCCTTTATCATCACAAGAACCTCAACCACAACCTCATGAGCAGCTTTAGGATTCTCTTCCACTATTGAAATTTTTAAACTATCCACTTATTTAGAAACAAAACTAACTTCTATTTTATTCTCCAAACAATCCTTCCTGAAGTGCATAATCATACCATAGTTGAAATAGAAATTGGGGAGTCTTTCATATTCTATCTTCTGAAAGAATTTTCTAGAGCATCCCTCTTCTTCCCAAAGCTCTCCTAGAACTTCCTCTTAAAGCTCTCTCTCAAGAACACTCAATAGCTAATAATCTTTGAAATAAGTTAATGAGAGATATTTAATACAAGGCCTCACAAAAATCAATAGACTCAATTCTATGACTCTAATTATCCTTTATGATTAGTTTAAAATACTCTTGTTAGTACTATACATAGAGTTAGGTGTTGTATGATTAGTTCAAGGAATTGAGATGTTTATACATGATGATTTTGATCACTTCCAGTATGATTAGTTAATTACTTGGATTATCATCCAATACAATTGGCAAAGATTTAATTATCATCCCATACAGCAATCAGGCCGTACAGTATGATTGGTCCAATCATTCTATGCTATTTGATTTGAAAGATTAATCCAAATTCATTCGCTAATCTTTTTTTTTTTTTTTGACAAAAGCAAATTAATGCATTAAGAATCAAAAGCAATCTAATTACAAGTAATAAAAGGATCACATTCCTCGTTGATAAAATTCCATAACAAGGCCAGAATGCTTTCCAAAGAAAACCTATCAAAATAAAAGCTATTGTCCAAAGCCAATGTAGCACAACAATTAGCTACCTTATTACAATTCCTAGAAACATAATGAAAAATTACCTTATTAAAGTCATTCAACCATCACGGATCCTTGTATGGCCACCTATCCAAGATCCAATTCTTCTTCTTCTTCAAAGTGTCTTGAATGAATTTGATAATCTTTACATTATCACTTACAACAATTATTCCTTTGCATTCTAGCATCAGTTCACAAAGAAATTCTTTAACAGCAGGCACAGCATCTAGCTAAAGTTTAGCTATATCCCAATGAATTTTCTTATTCCCAAAAGCACTGATAAATATTCCCTTGAAGTCCCTGAAAATGCCACCAATCCCAGCTAGATTGGATGAAAGTAAAGAAGCATCCACATTGATTTTAATCCAATCATTTGGAGGAGGGCACCAAGAATCATGGGACTCCCTAAGGAGATTAGTGCCCCAGCTTACAAGAAAAGGATTAGAGTTAGAAGTAGCCAAATAAAGAGCATTGGACGCTACCACAGAGCATGGCAAAGCAGGTTTTTGATGTTTGACTTCATTCCTATTTCGCCAGGACAAATAAACAACCGTGTAATATAATCTCACCATACCGGAATTCTGCATAGAGAATGTCTCCAAGCTCTATAAACAGTTGTCCAAAGAATGGAAAATTGGTATGTGAATACCCCATTCATGAATTTTCATAATCACCTCAAGCATATATTTATAATGAACCAAAATATGCTCATAAGATTCAATAGAATTACAGCCCTTAGCACAGTTTACAAAATCAGATAAGTTTCGGTTTTTCAAAAACAGATTAGTTGGAATAGCTCTCTTACTAAGCCTCCACCAGAACAATTCAACTTTTTTGTTCAGTTTTAACTTCATCACCCAATTAGAGAATCCAGTTTCCTCTTCATTCAGGTTGTAGGAATTAATGGACTCAAAAGCAAGAGCTGAAACCGTCTTCCCAGAACACAACTTTATCAATTCAATGCTATCCTCCTTCTCCTGATCAGAAGTGATTTGAATGATCAGAGAAATCAAATCCTGATGAAATGCTCTTTGTAGCTTTGCATAGTTCCAATCCCCATTGCTTAAAATTAGCTCATTGATATAAGCATTTTCAAGGTATTCACAATCCACAAAGGTAGGCCAACGGTTTATACATTTATCAAATAACCAAGTATCATATAAAACACTGATACTATTACCATTGCCAATCTTCCACCTAACCACATTCCTCAAAATCTTTCCCCCATCCAACAGTATACGCCAAGCACTTGAGCAATTGCTTTTGTGAAATTCATGCATAATATCAGCCCCATATTTAAGCTTCATAGTTCTATGCAACAGGGAATTCGGTTTCTGATGAAAGATCCAGGCTAAATTGGATCTAAGAGCTCCAATTCTAAGTAAAGGAGAGTGCAAAACCAAGCCACCAAATCTCCTTGGTTTACATATATCATCCCAAGCAACATAATGCATATCCTTAGAACCATCTTTTTTATTCCACAAAAAATTTCTACATAACTTTTCAAGTTCAAGAAGCACTCTTTTGGGAACTAAAGAATTTGTAATCAAATAATT